TCTTTTCAGGAAAGCAAGGGTGGATTTTCCCAGAGTGCATTTTGCTTGGGGCCCTGCATGCTCATTGTGAGCATAAAGCAAAGAGAGATTCATTTGTTTGCAGCATATGTAATATGACATACAGTTTGGACCTTCAACTATTTTATGGGTGGATGAATATCCCAATATAGGCAGCAGTGAAGTGAAGTGGCAGCTATGGAACATGCACTTTGGCTTGTGTGTGCTGTAGCATAATGGCTAAGAGAATGACTTGGTTCAAACCTTGTCTCTGCCTCAAATTCAGTAATGTTCTTAGAGTCAAGTAATACTGATTTATATAGTATCTGTCACCTCCTCTCGAGTCAACTGTTGTAAAAACACATATAAGGGATGCATACGGACAGTCTTTTCAGGAAAGCAAGGGTGGATTTTCCCAGAGTGCATTTTGCTTGGGGCCCTGCATGCTCATTGTGAGCATAAAGCAAAGAGAGATTCATTTGTTTGCAGCATATGTAATATGACATACAACTATTTTATGGGTGGATGAATATCCCAATATAGGCAGCAGTGAAGTGAAGTGGCAGCTATGGAACATGCACTTTGGCTTGTGTGTGCTGTAGCATAAACTGACGATTTTAGAACAGCTGATCGGCAGTTTCAAAATGGCCACCGGGTAAACAAAATGGCTCCCCGCTGTTTTCTGGGATGGATTCCTCATTGCACAGGCACCGAAAATGGCCACCCTGTGGAGGATTTTCGCTGGACGCTGAGTTCCCAGCCCATAAGGGGTTTCAGTGCGTTTCAATGGGGTTTTTATTTTTGCATTACGATGTTTTCATTCTACAGCGATTTCGCTGGAACGAATTAACGTCATAATGCAAGGCACCACTGTGTACGTATTCCAATTCGTAATGCAAGGCACCACTGTATATGTATTCCAATTACAGTATATGATGTATGACAAGCACTTTGATTGCTTGAAAATACTATCTCATTATTACTGCTGTTGTTCTTGTTAGATACTGACACTATTGCTGTATTAGGACATAACCAGTCAACCTCCCCATGCAGACAACAATACTTCCCCTCCCCCACTGAGGTGTCTCTCTAAGAACTGGGAATTTTTGTCTCCTATATCCTTAAAGACCCATAAAAGTTTTAAAGTTGCTACATGCTGAAACAGAATGACATAAAATATCTACTTGAACATTGAGCATAACTAAATACTTGGAAGACTGAAGTAGCCACCTCCCATAACCATGAACATGGAAACATACCAGAACTAGAGGGCAGTAGAATATAGCTACAACCCAGTAGGACAAATATATCCACGGAAAAACATAAGAGACATGTTGGTCTGTCCATTTTTCACCATCATAATATATGAATGATGGAAGAGATGAAGGCCTGGTGGAACATGAGATCATATCTTGTTCCATATCCACTTCTATCTAAGATTAATCCATCTACATAAGTCTTTCACAGGTACATTTCATGTATCTACATTCAATCCCTAATACAATCCCTAATACATCTTCTTCTGATGGATGTTGGTTTCTTGACTTATAAAGTAACACATGTTTATGCAAGTTTGTGAGAAACTTCTGCGTAAAGGTTGTAGCTGCATTCTGTTCCAATGATGTGCATACACTCCTGGCAGGAAGTGGCAGCTGCCAGCAGGCGGGGTAACTCCTTATTCTGCCCTTTCGCTTAGAGGTAGAGCATAAGATCAAAGAGTTATTTCACCCAACCCTAGTTACGATTAGGAAACTATTATCTTATCTGAATTCTAACAACATACTATGTAATCATGCTAAGTAAATAAAAGAGCTCTCAGGGCATTGCCTGTAGGCTCCGCTGGCTCAGACATCTGCTGTCGACTCCTTTGTTCCCTCTAAGGCAATTAGCCTTCCTTTGTTCCGTGATCACCCACACAAGTTAGCACCTACAATCATTGCAGAAGACTATGCAATGACAGAAGAAGACAGGGAGCTACAGTCCCAGTTTCCCAGTATTTGTCTTTTAATGACCTACTCATAAATATTACAGTTTGTGTAGATAAAGAGTCCTATAAGAATGTATCCTGGCCCTAGAGTTCTTAGAGCCTTTATGTGTCATTCAAATGAGACTTGAGAGACACTGGTCATTATACACACACCCCTTAGGAGGAAACAGCACCAAGCTCCTAAGGGGTGTCTGTGAGCACCAGGATCCAATAGAACAGCTGAGAGGCAGGCAGAGGGCTGTTCTATGGTGCTGCTTCCTCTTAAGCAAAGCAAAGTGTGCTGCTTATATACCACCCCATAGTGCTTCAAGCACTCTCTGGGTGGTTTACAAGTTAATTATGCAGGCTACACACACAGGGGCGCTCTGCTCACACACACCCCTTAGGAGGAAATAACTCCAGGATCCAATAGAACAGCCCCCTCTGCCCTCCTCTCAGCTGTTCTATTGGACCCTGACACTCTCACACACCCCTTAGGAGCACCAGGATCCAATAGAACAGCTCAGAGGCAGGCAGAGGGGCTGTTCTATTGGATCCTGGCGCCGTTTCCTCCTAAGGGGTGTGTGTAAGCAGAGCGCCGAACAGCTGAGAGGCAGCAACCAGCTGAGTGGCAGGCAGAGGGGGGCATTTTATTAATAATAAACCCTGAGAGGGTTGCTGCCTCTCAGCTGTTCGGCGCTGTGCTCACACACCAGGAGCCAATAGAACAGCGAGACTTAAACATCCGGGGGAGAAGCCCAGCACATGCCTAAGAGGCGGAGGTGGATGAATGCGGCGGGCGGAGGGGTGCGGCGTTCCAGGCCATTGTTACAGATGCTCCTTGGTCTATGGGGCTACCTGCTAAGTGACTTTTTTCGCCCATAGGAACACATTAATTAAATCTCAATGCATTCCTATGGGAAACCGCACCTTGCAAGATGAACATTTTTGCAAGACGACACGTCTTGCGAGTCACTGAAAAACCTCACAAAATGCTTTTGTCTTGCACATTTTTCGTTGCGCGAGGCATTCGTCTTGTGAGGCATCACTGTATGTTAGTCTGTTTCATCAGCTACTAAAATAAAAATAGAAACAAAGAAAGACAGCATAAGCAAATTTATTTCAGTGAGAGGTTAAAATACACTGATTCAGACACATGACTTTTGTTTCTGTGGTGTCATGGAGGTCAGTTCACTGGGCCTTTGCATTTCAGAAAGTTGCCTTGTGCAGGAACTGGATCTGAAATGAAGACTCAAATTTGGTATTGTTCTCTACATCAAATCAAATGGCACTATGGCAGGAGTAAGAAACATGTAGTCTTCCAGATGCTGATGGTTTGCATTGCAATGGCCCTAGCCAGCATATCTAGCTGTGAGAGATGATGGGAGTTTTAGCCCAGTAACAAATGAATGGACACATTTACCCTCCCCTATGCTGCAAGTTCCATTAGGAACAGGAAGGTTTTGGAGAGCTAATATTGTGGACTAACGTCCATGACTGAATAGACTGGACATCACAAGTTTATGAGTAAGCAAGTCCATGCATAAATAATTTGATTTTGACTTATTTTTTAAATACACATATTGTTCTCAGTAGCTTCAAATTACTTCTATTAGTAAATGTCCGGAGGGCAATTTAAGAAGTCACAGAATGAATAATCAGTAACTATCAATCCCCAGGGTAGATACATATTGGGGAAAAGAAGAGATACAAATATAGCGCTTATTCACATCAGAACAAATGACTGCTTATTGAAATGCTGAACATGCTTCAACCACATCTATGGACAAATGTAGGCTCCCTTCTATGACCCATTGCTATGGAGCTGGTACATTTGAAGATTTAAGATTGGAAGCTGCAAGAGTTCTACAGCTGGGAACAGAGGTTTCTGTTCTTCTAAGGGAAGAGACCTCTACCCTAATAGGTAAGTGATTGAAGTAAATGCCTCTTGTTACTTAATTAGTATTACATATAGGAGAAATATAGTGTGTGAGATTTACTGGCAAAGCTTGTCAGAACTAATGTTAGCTGGTCTCTCTCTCTCTCTCTCTCTCTCTCTCTCTCTCTCTCTCTCTCTCTGTGTGTGCGCACGCGCACGCATGCCTATACTGTTGCTTCTTAGATGTGTAATATGGAGAGATGCATACTTTTTTCCCATGCCACAGACTGCCAAGCATTTTCTTGTGTAACATGCTGTTTAGAGTATTTAATATAATTTTAAAATGAGGCTATTACATGCTTTCCTGGCATGCCATAGAGTGACGCCATGATAGTTCTACTAACTTGCAAGGCAGTTGCCTCCAGAGAGATGACAATGGAAAGCCAGCTGGAATTTAAAATGTTTTACTTTGTTTTGCTTTTTAATTTTTTGCATTAATGAAAAACTTGCCTTTCCACTTAAAGACCAAGCTTGCTCCATGTGATAGGTACATATAATAATATGTAAAAAAAATCATTCACAGCTTTGACAGATATGCTGACACCATATAGTTGTTTAGAACTACCAGACCTTTGAGTAGCAACCAGAGTGAAAGGGGATTTCTCAAAATGCCACTGCTCAGTGTTTTATGACTACATAACAAATGTATAATTCTGATGTTGGAAAGGAAAAAAAAATCTCTGGAGGAATTTCAATTAAACTGTTTCTTCCCACGTTTGCAAGAAAGTTACAGCACATGTGCCAGCTCATAAAGGGTACAGGCTGTTTCAATTTGCACTCCATGTTTTTACTTT